GAGACCACAGGAAGCACGTGCACTAAAGCTCTTACTGGCTCTAGTAAGCGCCTGTGGTCCAATCACTGTAATTTCTTCTTAATTACCATTTGGACTAAGTAACCGTCATTCGACTCATTTTCTCTAACAGGATCTTAAGCCTGGAAACTTGGCTGTTAATCAAGACTGTGAACTAAAGGTATGTACTTTCTGCATTACTGCATATGAGAAGCAGTGAGATGATAGGGCAGCACCGGCAGCAGACACAGTAGGACTCAGCAGTCGATGTAATTAACAATATACAGGAGGTAGAAGAAGAAGTTCATTTACATACAGTTGTGCAAACCTACTCGAAATAATCCTGAAACGATAGAATCATTTGTTATTGTTTATATGAGATTGCCATATATATGTATGCAATATTTTATGTGTTTCATTAAAAGTAAACAGCCTGTGAGACACTAAGTACATGTTTGAGATTGTCATCCGTTTCATTGCTGCTGATACAGATCCTGGACTTTGGGCTGGCTCGCAGTACTGATGCTGAAATGACAGGCTACGTGGTGACCCGTTGGTACCGGGCGCCTGAGGTCATTCTGAACTGGATGCACTACACTCAGACTGGCAAGACAATTGTAGCTGTTACATATTCTTTCCCACCGTTCTCTCTGTCGTCTAGAGTTGACCTCTTGGTGCTGTGACCATTTGTTGTTTGTTACGTGAAAACGTCTCGACACTCCAGCTTTCATTGTTGCATGTATGGTTCTTCAAGGGTCAGCAACTTTTGTAATCCTGTTCCTAGTTCCTGACAAATATTTGAAGTTGCATGGATGTCATCTTGAGAAAAAAGAAATGTTTGGGGGTTTTTTTCTCCTCTTAATCTGTTGACACAGATGGTCTGACAGAGCTGAGACTCAATGACAGAACTGTCACTGCAAACCCAGGATTTATGTTCCTTTAGGAGATAGGGGTTTTTCATTTTGTACATAGCATCCACAGAGTGGAGTGTAGCTGCGAAAGCAGCTCTGACAAGTTTAGGATAGTATTACTCACTGAATATTCCCCCTTTCAAAGCACACAACATATTCAGCTCTCTGCTGTGAATAGGAACTGTGCTCTGGCATATAAATGCCACCTTCCTCATTCCTGCTGCACTCAGCTAAACTTATAACCCTCTTGGTGTTATGTATTCTTCATGATTTCTCACTAATGTTACTTTCCTTTGGTGTTTCTTGTAGTGGACATCTGGTCTGTGGGCTGCATAATGGCAGAAATGATCAATGGAAAGACCCTCTTCAAAGGAAAAGATTGTATCTTTTCTTCAGCTTGGTCCATTTACTAAACTTTACCAGCCTGTGTGATAAATAATAAGTTGAATAATGAATGTCAGTATGCAAAGAGAAAGGTATCAAGCACACTTTGTGAAATCCCTTTAAAGCTTTAATATCGCTTTATTAAACCACTGTAATAATATAGGAGATGGAAAGGTGCTTGATGACAAGCTCTATAAAGACACAAAATCAAGCACAAGAGGCAGTTACAGTATATTAATACAGAGCAAAAGCGGCATATTTCCCGAGTCAATTTTTTTCCCCCTACCTTGTTATAAATGCTCCTGCGTTTGTTATATTTCTCTTTTATGTTCTTATTTTGCTTCTGATGCAACGAACTGATTTATAGCTCTGCTAGGAAATAAAGACATCACAGGTCTTTCTGTGATGTCTTTTTCCTTTATTATTCTGTTTTGCATGCCTGCTTCATATCTCTATGTTCTGCTCACTGAACCACGAATGTAAGAGTAAAAATCCTTGATTCTAATCTGTTTGCTATAAGACATGGACCAGCTGACTCAGATCATGAAAGTAACTGGTGTGCCCGGGCCAGAGTTCATCCAAAAGCTGGACACTCCAGAGGTAGGAAGAACAGTCATAAATATGCAGTTATGCACTAGGAGTACTATCTGCACAGAAAATTTTTACAAATGTCCATTGCCTTTAATGTTAAACATTTTTTTATAAGTGATTTCTCTCAGAGTGAGCATTAAAAAAGCATCATATCTCAGAAAGCATTTGAGCTGTGGTGCACTAGATCCTAAACTGAAACCCATGAAATTAGCATACAAAGTGAAAGTTCCACCGACAGCCCTCTGAGGTAGAAATGTACAGCATACTGCAACCTACAGTGACATACGGGAAATTTTGCCAGACTCTCATGTCCTTTTTTTCTTTACCAGATGTGAGTAGTTAAAATCTAGAAATTGTCCTGAGGGTGGCACTAGAGGAACAGTCAGGGCATTAATAAAAGCCTATAGTAGGATGCATTAATAGGAAGGAAGTTAAGGCTTTTGGAAAGTCCTGTTTTGCAACTCTATAGGATTTTATAAATGGCCTTAGACTTGTTTCAGCACAATGCTAACAAGATGGCTCACATGCACAAGTGACGAATTGAATATACAGTTCCATCTTTGGAAGTCATATTTGCACAAGGACTATGTAGCTGTATATGAGTATGAAATCAAATATAGTTCTATCTTTGGATTTATTTCATTTTTGCAAGGTTAATAACAAACTATTCAGTTTTACAAAATAACAACATGAAACAATCAGCCTGTCTTTGATAAATGAAGACCTTTTTTATTATTTCATTTTGTAATCACAGTTAAACTAAATCATTGTTGCCATACTTAAAGATTGAATAAAAAATATTCTGTGTCTGGGTATTTGTGTTTGATATCTTAAAACAGGCCAGAAATTATGTCAAGGGCCTTCCTCGATATCCCCGAAAAGACTTCTCAATGTTGTTTCCCAGAGCTAGTGCACATGGTGAGATGCACCTTTTTTTCCCCACATTTTTATTCTTTTTTTAAATCACACTTTTTGTTTCTTTCTTTGGTGTTTTTCTTCTTTGTATGGCTATAATTCGAAAAGTCATTCATGATACCCTGTTAATGAAAGCTTTTCCATTTTCTGGCCTGCTAAGTGATAAATATTCACTTACTTTTTCAGTTTCATGGTTTTTGTATCGTAGTAAACTGGTGCATTATTCCACACTGCTGACCTTTTGTAGGCGTTGATCTGCTGGAGAAGATGCTTGTTCTGGATGGAGATGAGAGGCCCACAGCGGAACTAGCTCTAGAGCACCCATATTTTGACAACTTGCGGGACCCCGATGATTTCCCCAAACCACTGCCATATGATGACAGTCATGACAACGACACATTGTCCCTAGATGAATGGAAGCGTAAGTGGAAATCTTACTATGATAATCATGTCTCTATGTCTTCTCCCTAACTCCTCCTACATGTGTTAAACAATCTGAATGAAACTTACTGTGTAGACTGCCTTGGGTACCAGGATTATCAACATCTATATAAAACTTTTGGGAATTATTTTCATAACACTCAAATCTTTACAAATCCGTGTGCTGATCTCAAAACGAATGGTGATATTACGTCTATGTTACGTATGTGTTTTTGTTTGTAACTCATTTTTGCTAACCAATTTTTAATGCAGTGGCTCTTGGGGGCCACAGGAATATAGTGCCTGGCAAAATAGTGCCTGTTGTTGGTTTTTGTCTTATACAATGAATACATGGCTTGCAAAGAATAATAATAATAAATATATGTATACATTATGGATTGGGGGTTTTTTTGTTTTCTAACTATACGCGGTGATAATAAAGATAAAAAGATTAATATTAATAAATGAACATAATGCCATCATATATTTTAAATAATGTACTTGATTTAAGTTGACACCCCGTTCCCTCTTTTTATTTTTTTATTTTTACACAGGATTGTGTTTCAGGGAGGTGAAAAGCTTTGTGCCATTCCCACGGCGGGACTCCAAGAGGAAAAACACTCTGACCATGTCTCCATGATCTGATGAATGTCATGTAATTACTGATGCCCCAAACAACAAGCATACAACCAATTGTGCCCTTGTATATTCTAAGCCTGGATTCATCATATATCTTTTACTCAGTTATATAAATATAAAGCGCTATATAAATCCAATCCATTATTATTATTATTAGTTAATATCCTGAATCAGTGTTCAAAAGAGTAAAACTGTATCATCCCCTTTTTTACGTAATGTGCAACTGTTTCCTAAATGTAGCTTGTTCATAGTGTTACACATTTCCTGTCAGTGGATTTTGGTGTGGATTTATTGTAACTAAATGCTACAAGTTTTCTTGTAAGATTTACTGCAATGTTGTTTTCCAATTAAAAAATTCAACATGATGTGGCCTTTCTCATTTGCACAGGAGGCAGCTGAGTTGAATCATCTGTGACATTGCTTGAATATACACTGGACAGGGTTGGTACATTAAGAGACTGTATGTGTATTCATGTATTATGAATATTGTTTCACAATGCAAGATAAATATGTATTTTAAAACACGTTCTTGACAGTAATTAATGATGGCGCACCTCTGTGCACATGCTTTGTATATCCAAAGTGACTGGACACATGTACGTTAGTAAATCGTCCAAATATTGTTGATACTCGGGTTTAAATGAAAAACTACACTTTTCACTGACCCTGTGATCTCGCGCGCGAAAATCGTGGTCTAGTGACGTCAGGGGGGATGGCTAAACTTGTCTCGTTTGACTGTTGTCAAGGTAGCCCACAGGTTGCTCGAAAAAGGAAGCGAGACAGTTCTCTCTCAAAATAAATAAATGTAATCGCGTTGGAATGCGATATTCCGACTTTTATATCAGACAAGCTCTACAAATGGCATGTGGTACATCTAAATCAGATAACGCATAAATAAAGCAATAAGCATTGTAAGTACAAGCATGAGAAAGAGTATCCCAACCCCAGATACTACTATTTTTCCTTAGATTGCAATGCAGTGAAATACTCTTAAAAGGACATGTTAGATGGGGAAAAGGGTAGATGACATAAGTAGGTGTTATTCAGAGTCGTGTTTGTGGCAGAAGAAAATGCACTCGTTCAATCTTGGACATTATTTTGAAATCTAACCGGAAGTCTTATTATGTTGGGTGATGTCGGTTTAGCTTACTCTGGGCTCCAAATTGCTAGCCAACTAGCCGAAGGAGGCTAGTATTCCTCCTTCTCTTAAAATTGGGCCGACAGTAGGGCTTTCTCATATTTTAATGTAGATATATTACTTTTGTTCTCAGTGAGCCGTTGGGATTGACTGCGTGCCTTCCAAGTGCCGTGCTGTGAAGAAACGGAAGCGCTGAAAAATAGCGAAATATACCGGCTATACCAGCAAACTGTGGATTGCTAACGGTAGCTATTAGCTTGGGGAGTATAGCAAGTAAGCCGCCTGGCTAGGCAACCATTACAGCAAAAGCGGCTTCAACCCACCGGGGCTGTCGAGTTACTCCTGTCAGTCAGTTGCCATAATTGGTAAGATGGCATACATTTGCCATTTTACTACCCTTTTGTGATCATTGACAGGCTTAAAAGTTTTAGCTAGTAAGGATTTTTTGTGTCATGCACCTTGTCAATGTTTAAAAATATCAGACAAGCTAACGTTAGTACTACCCAGCTTATAAAGTTAGCAGGCTAGCCTGCTTATAGACTCTCGGCACTTTCATGTTAGTGCCGTTACATTACGCTGTTGTTCTTATACCGACACGATGAAATGAAACCCACTGCATCAATCGTACAAAATCAACAACTGTTAAAAATTAAACAGTAGAAAATCTTTGGACAGTGTTTTTAAAACTGTAAATATGGCTGACATTTTTACTCCTGAAATAAGGACACCGCTCTGTTGAGGCTCTAGGATCCTTGAATCTGATTGGCTCTGAGTCGGATCATTTAAGCTTTCCCGAAAGCTGATTGGATTTGACCGCTGTGTTGGGTCAAGCCGTGATAGCAGATGCCAGCAGTTATTAACATATAGTCGAGAATAATCTACACAAGATTTTACTGGCCATGTGTGTTTTGTCAGTAAAGTCTGCTGCTCGGCAGCTAACGTAGTCATTACAGTGGTTTGTTCTGTTAGCTTTTGTTAGCTTTTGTAGGTGACTAAGAGTTTTGAGTTTAGATATGACGGACTGTTTTTACCACAGGTGCTACAGCCTAATATCACCACAGTATTATGTAATGTACGTCGAAGGACTATTTCAATGAGTTAATATGGAAAGAACTTTAGCCACTTGGGCATTAGTGAAGTATTGAGACAGCAGAACATAAGTATAGGTAGAAAATGGGTAATGACAGCTAGTACAGCATAGACTCATAATAATAAGAAATGTTATGATTGGGATTGGCATTGGGAATTGAGCTTATGATATATATTTCTTCTGAGTGAGAACGCTGGTGTCGTATTTGAATGTTGCATCCCTAAATGCTAATAGAAATTTGTTTTTATGTTGGCTGTTTTTTATAGTTAGTGTTCTTATTTTATTTCCTTTTCTAACCAACAGGAGGAAAAGTGTGATTGGTGGCCTATGAGGAAGCCACGTCGAAAAGGCCAAGTGGCCGGAGGAGGTGGAGATGTGAGAAAGTCAAATGGGACATTTGGCGGGCGTGGGGGGGCCCGTCAACGATCACCATCCCCCTACAGCCTAAAAGCTTCTCCAAGCAGAGAAACGTTGACATATGCCCAGGCCCAGAAGGTGGTTGAAGTGGAACTAGAAGGTAGGCTTCACCGAATTTCTATTCTGGAGCCTTTGGAAGTCATTACTGAAGATGAGATGATGGCTCAGGACATTAGTGAGTGTAACAGCAACAAGGAGAACAGTGAGCAGTCATCACCTCCCACCAGCAGTGCCCAAACAGCCCGCAAACCTGTCACACCACGAAGCCGCAGGAAAGACCCCAAATGTTCCTCTAATAAGTCGCCACCATCCTCCAAGAACAGTTGCCCCAATTCTCATCCGCCATCACCGGAAAAGCTAAACAAATCACAGTATCATCACATGACCCTTCCTGAACCTAAGTTTCGAGTGCTGGAAACCTTTACGCCAGTTGAGGCCCCTCCTCTGCCAGCAGCATATTATCGTTATATTGAAACCTCAGCTGAGGAGGAAACTGAGGCAGAATATGACATGGACGAAGAGGACACTGCCTGGCTGGAGATGGTCAACGCTGATCGGACATCAGAGGGTTGCTCAACTGTCTCAGCAGAAACGTTTGAGCGGCTGGTGGACCGATTGGAGGAGGAGGCATATCTGGAAGCCCGAAGCCGAGCGCCTTCTCAAAGCACTATTGATGATGATGCCTTCTGCTGCGTGTGCCTGGATGACGAGTGCCTCAACAGCAACGTCATCCTCTTCTGTGACTCCTGCAACCTGGCTGTGCACCAGGAATGTTACGGAGTGCCCTACATCCCTGAGGGTCAGTGGCTATGCCGCTGCTGCCTTCAGTCCCCTCAGAAACCTGTTGACTGTGTTCTGTGTCCAAACCGTGGCGGCGCATTCAAGCAAACGAGTGATGGCCGCTGGGCACATGTAGTCTGTGCTATATGGATCCCCGAGGTCTGCTTTGCTAACACAGTATTTCTGGAACCAGTGGAAGGAGTTAATAACATTCCCCCAGCACGATGGAAACTGACTTGCTGCCTGTGTAAGCAGAAGGGTCGTGGTGCATCTATTCAGTGTCATAAAGCCAACTGTTACACTGCATTTCATGTTACATGCGCTCAGCGTGCTGGGCTCTTTATGAAGATAGAACCTGTGCGAGAAACAAACATTAACGGGACTATGTTCTCGGTTAAGAAGACTGCTTTCTGTGAGGCCCATTCTCCGCCAGGACAAGAGACTGGGTCAGATGATGAGAGTGAGGGACGAGTGGTGGGCAGCAGAGGGAGGGCGAGCAGAGGACGGAGTGCCTACACTGAGGGTCCGACAACACCGAAAAAAGGCAGAAAGTCTGACGATGATGCCAAGACGGATAAAAAGAAGGGGAAAAAGAATTCAGACTCAACATCCCAACACACAGCATCACCACAAGTGACAGTGCCTCAGATACCGACGAGCAGGTTAGGTTGTTTTTTTTTTGTTTTGTTTTTTTCCCTTTTTTCCCCAAAATAAGATTGTCTTCTGCAGTTAGCTTGAACATCTGATAAAACAAAGTTTATCAAAAGCAGCAAATTGTTGGAGATTTTTTGATCTAGTTGATATTTCAAATAACCATAATTCACACGTTCTACAGTGAGAAGCCTGAATTGATGTTTGCCATATTGATAGTAACATAATACTGCATTTCCTTCTGTTATATAGGCTGAATATCATCTGTAAAGGAATTATTCTGCAGAAGAAAAATCAGTTCATGCAGAGGCTTTATAAATACTGGTTATTAAAACGACAGTCGAGGAACGGTGTGCCGCTGGTTCGGCGTTTGCACTCTAACATCCAGTCCCAAAGGAATACTGAACAGGTAAGAGCACAGAAATGAAGCCTTAACACTCTGTAGCTGTTTTTCTAAAATCATTGTTTGCCTTTAAATATGTTTTGATGTTTAATATGTTTAAATATAGTTTGTAGAAGCTTTAAAATGAATTGTACTTTATAGCCTGAAGTGGATGAGAAGATTTCTGCAGCAAGAGACACACTGAGATATTGGCAGAAGCTTCGCCACGACCTTGAAAAAGCCAGACTTCTAGTGGAGCTCATCCGCAAGAGAGAGAAACTCAAACGAGAGCAGGTAACTTACAAAGATGAACCACCCTCACTGGTTTACATGCTTCATATTTAACGCTGTCAGTTCATCGTGTAAATTTTGAATTAAAAAAAAAAAAAAATGTTGGCAAAACGAAGATCTGAAGTACCTTCAAAATGCAGTTACCTAAATAGTTCTCCAGTGTAATCTTTAGTTCTGTTATGTTTGGGTAATCTGCTTTTTCTTGGCCTGTCCTATAGCGTGTGTATTGTATGTTGGCATGTCTTTGCCACATGATAATAAACAGGTGGCTGCTATAAACTGATAGGGAGGCAGAGCCGAAAGGAAAGCTATTCATACAGTGGGGCAAAAAAGTATTTAGTCAGCCACCGATTGTGCAAGTTCCCCCAC